TTTCTCTAAATTCTAAAATTTAAGAATGGCTCAAAGGATTCAACAGATTACAGGACATTTTTCAGGCAGTTATAACCCTGCCGTTGCTAGGGTTGGTCAAAAAAGTCCTGATGATGTCGTTATAGTTGTTGCAGTTCGTACTCCCATGACAAAATCGAGAAAAGGTGGTTTCAAGGATGCTCTACCTGAGGAGCTCTTGGCTGCCGTTTTAAAGGCTGTTCTCGATAAATCAAAAATAGACCCGAGACTTATTCAGGACATTGCAGTTGGAAATGTACTTCCTGCCGGTGGTGGTGCTACAGTTGCTCGTGCTGCCTCTTTGTACGCTGGCATTCCCGACACTTGTGCCTTGAACACTGTTAATAGACAATGTTCTTCTGGCCTCCAGGCTGTTACACAAATTGCTCATGAAATTGCTTTGGATCAAATTGAAATTGGAATTGGTAATATTAATTTCCCAAATAAGGAAGACCTGGAAATTTTATCTAAAGTTTTCCTTCGCGATATTCAGATGTCAATCAATTGTAATTTTGGGTTTAACATTCATCAATTTAACTTGTTATGTTCTTAGGTGCCGGTGTTGAAACTATGACCCATGGATTTGGTGCTGCTGCAATGCCCCCTGATACATCTGAGAAGGTCTTTTCAAACCAACAAGCAGCCGATTGCTTATTGCCTATGGGAATTACTTCCGAAAACGTTGCAAAGGATTTCGGCATTACTCGTGCCCAGCAGGATGCTTTTGCCGTTGAATCTCATAAAAAAGCTGCTGCTGCCCAAGAAGCTGGACTTTTCAAGGATGAAATCATTCCCGTGGAGACGAAATGGATTGATCCCAAAACTGGTGAAGAAAAAACTATTATTGTCTCTGCCGATGATGGTGTTCGTAAAGAAACTACACTTGAAGGTTTGGCTAAATTAAAACCCGCTTTTGCAAAGGATGGTGTTACGACTGCTGGTACATCATCACAAGTTTCAGATGGTGCAGCCGCAGTTTTGTTAATGAAACGAAAAACTGCTGAAAAACTTGGGTTACCAATTCTTGGTAAATTTATTCGTTCTGCGGCTGTTGGTGTTCCACCTCGTATTATGGGTATTGGTCCAGCCTACGCTATTCCTGAAGTGCTTAGACGAACTGGTCTTGGAATTAATGACATCGATATTTACGAAATTAATGAGGCTTTCGCTTCCCAAGCTGTTTATTGCATCGAAAAATTGGGCATTGACAAGAAAAAGGTTAATCCAAAAGGAGGTGCGATTGCCATCGGACATCCTCTTGGATGTACAGGTGCACGCCAAGTTTCTACACTTTTGTATGAGCTAAGAAGAACAAAGAAGAAACTTGGTGTAATTTCTATGTGTGTTGGCTCTGGTATGGGTATGGCGGCAGTATTTGAAGCCGAATGGTAATTTTTTCTTATTAAAGACGTTAATTATATGCGAATTGTAGTTCATAGAATAGTGCATTATGATAAATAATTTCCTTTCCAAAAAAAAAAGGAACGTTGTAATATTTGATATATTTACATAATTTATTTTTGTAAGACGATTGTCTAATAGTGATAATAAAAATTTTTATAATAATATACATGTTGAAAAATGGGACAAACTCCAGTAGAGCATACATAACCTTCATATTTCATATTCTAAATAATTAGACTTTATTAACTCTCTGGTACATTAATTAACATTACTAGTTAAAAATGTATGGTTTACTTTTTATTGATAAAAAAATATATATACAAAACACCAAATTTTAATACGGTAAACCATTAAAAAGACTTATTTATTACGCAAAGAAAAACTCTCTGCGCAAAAACAAAATTCTTTTTAATTATTGATATAGCACACTAATGACTCAAGCCAAACCAATAGTCAATCGATTTGTCAAACGTTGAATGGTAAGGGATCTAAGGAGTGTGCTTTGGGGAAATCATCATAAAAAAGATTTGATTTATATGAACAGATGATCGCAAGATAATCAGTCATCATTAATCACACGATCATGTGATTATATGAATAATTTTAAAAAATGCAAATCATTGTAACCGGGTATCTATTGACCCGTCTGTTGTTGCTTTTGCTTAGTTTCCCATTCATCCCATGTTTCTCTATGATCTAACCATCTTTCTTGCACATCCATGACATCGTGAAAACTATTTATATCACTCATTGCAGTCAACATAATACTTTCATTACCCTCTGTCAATCCGCCAAATACATATCCATTCGCCTTGTCTATTACTTTAACAAGATTCATCACCGACTTCTTGTCCTATATATATTAAGAAATCAATTATCATGAAATTTATTGTCGTGGATGATACTGAAACTCAATAATTTGATTGCTCAACAATTTGATCGGTTTGAATTAAGGTGATCCGCAAAATTTTGCCAATAGGATTTTTTATTTTCAGTATCATCCGAATTTCGAGACATTTATTAAATAACTTAAGCAAATTAAGAAATATTCACACCTCTATACAAAGTGTATAAAATCCAACTAAACTAAAGTCTTCCACTAATCCACATAATGCTTTATTTAATTCTTTAAATTTATTTGCGAATGGATCAGAATCTAAATGCTCTAATAAATATGATAAGTCTTGTACTTCAGTATAAAAATCCAAGTTAAAAGCTAAAATAAATATTATTTAAAATTTGTTATTAATAGAAAGTCAATATAAATGATTCAATATACATGTACTCTACATATACATAACATTACCTAATTTGCCATACGATTCCATTAGATCAACCTTTGAAAGTACATTTACATGAGGTAATTCAATCTGTAACATTGTTTTAAGTGACAATAATAATGCTGAAATATATTTTGATGGGTCAGTACAATAATGTGCATCTACCAGATGAACCGTTACAAGCTAAT